GCAGATGACCAGGTACATCTTTGTTCATCTCGTTGTTACCCTTTGAAATTTCGGTGTGCGTTTTAATGGAAGAAGACACACTCTTGGACTCAGCCACAGAGCCAACGACATAAACCAAACCATCATCAGTAATAAATATAACTTGAATTTTTTTTATAGCGCCTTTCAAAGGACTCAGGGACACTTTACATATTTGAGGGCGAAGGACATATTCAAGGTGACATAGACAAAGAAAGGACAGATAGTATCTGACAAGGTCATTAATTAAGTGCAGAGGAAAATAATTGATTTGCATGTGTGGGGAAGATGACGAATGTATCGGGTAACGTAGGCACAGTTATGAAATGAGGAGAAGAGAGATTATGGTAAGTAGGTTAGTGGAGCAACACACAACTTTCCCTCCCTCCCTCCCTCCCTCCCTCCCTCCCTTGTCTTTCTGCTGTGCATGTGTGCTTTCTATCTGTCTCTCTCCCCTATGAATGCTTTTGTCCTGCATCATATCAAAGATCACACTTGCCGTCTCTCAGCACCACCTTAACTTTATGTCTCCTTATTCTTCCCTCTCAGGCCTGTGGCTCTTTTATCTCTACTTTTTTTCCTACAGTTTCTGCTTCTGCAACATATGCAATTGCCCAAAACACACAAAAGAAGAGGAAAAAAAACATCTCAGCACAAATGCTAGGCAATATTGTGTTTTTTTTGAAAACAGTGTAAAAACAATGCTGGGAAAAGTGCAGGGAGGCTGTTTTGCTTTACTATATTCTGTGGCTGTAAACTTCCTCTTCCTCCCATTTAGACAGTTTTGCCACTCTGATGATATCCTTCCCGATCCTCATCTGCCGTCTTTCTTGGGTTATATTATGTCCCTCAGCGTGTCCCTCTGTCGCCATGAGCCAGTCACACATCCATCCGGTGTTTGCCTGCAACATCACTGACCTCCTAACCCTGAATCTTATGTAACCATGGCAATACCCAAATTAGAACACAAAGCATGGAAAGAAGGAGGGGCTTAGAGCTTCACATACAGTCAAGCAGCGGCCAACCAGCTTTCCAGATTAGTGAACTCCCGCTCACTGCGCGTGTGTGTGTGTGTTGGGTCAGAGGAGAAGTAGAAATCAAACACCTCCAAATCCAAAACAGAGGCAGTGACAGTAACAAGGGTTTTCAGCACGTTCAAAGTGTGGCGCATGAATGCAATGAGAATTTAATAGCTCCAACTGGCCCCTGCCCCACTGTGCATGAAGCCCAGTATACAGAGAGGATTATTTTAGGATCCAAGCTCTGGCTTCAATAATCCTCTGTCCCTTCCTCTCCCTCATCCTGCTAAACCCTCTCTCTTCTCTCCTTTTAAATGCCCTATAATCTCTCTCACTTCAACTCCCTGTGTGACTGTAATCTGCTTTGTACCTATCTTTTACCTGCAGCAGAGACACATCAATAGGTCAGTGTGCCAAATTACACTTCCTTTTCCTCCTGTTACACTTGTTCCTGATCATACCTGTCACCTCCACAACCACAGGGGTGTCCTTTCTGGGGTTTGGTTTAATGTCTGGTTTTTGCCGTTGGGATTATAAATTCAGTGTAGACATTGAAAACAGCAGAAAATAAAGTAATCTTTAGTTTTATGAAACTGTCATTGTTGTTCCTGGAGCAGTTCATGGATTTTTTTTTTTAAGTCGAAGTCTAGTTTCAATCTTTTTTATTTTTTATTTGATTGTATCATGCAGTTGCAGTTAGGGTTATCAACAGTTCAGCATCTATTAGTTATCAACTAACACTGCTGATGAGGACAGCGTGATACATCTTAGAGCTCCAGAACCTTAAGCTAGTCTGTATTATTGGATAACGTTTCCACGTTCAAGAACACTGTATTTAAAATGTGGCTACATCCACTAATTACTGATGCTAACATCTGAGTGCAGTCTACAGAGCTCTCCGATTACACAAATTGTAATCTGAGTTAATGTCAATTCAACTATTCCCCTCATGGTTGGTGGTGGACTGATTTTGTTTGTCATTATCTTTTCATTCATCCACAGACAACTGATGACAGCTATAAGTCTATTGCCAGGTCATGTCAGCACAGTAACAGGCTCACAATGACAACACTAACATGCTGATGTTTAGCAGGTGTAATGTTTATTGTGTTCATCATTTTACTTCAAATTCAAAACAACTTTATTTGTTATTTGTTACCTGATGCGCTGATATTTGCTAAACATGGTACAAGATGAAAAATAATGCAATCAGTCACGTCAGTAAAATGTATCCTCAGAAGGACAGTATCATTTGAATTAAATTTCACAACAATCTATTCAATAATCCTGGAGACATTTCACTAAAACGCAAAAATGTTTCATGTTGGTCAAATGGACAGGATTAAAACAAAAAAAAGAAGTTCATGCCAATCCACAGTCCACATGAGGGGGCGATTGAAACATTTTGGCTTCAGATTTAGGGAGCTGTCTTGTCCTCCATCTTAATGTACAGTCTATGGTTGCCATTCATAGAGTCCTGGTGCTAACTTGGCAAATAACAAATAACCTCTGTTTGGTTTTGTAGACTTTCAATAACATTTGAACTGAAACTACACTGATACTGTTGCTTCTGTATTTTGCTGCTAAAAACTCATCCGCTGTGGAGTTATGCCTGTGGCTAGGTAAACTAGATGTGACATGGGTTGCATGTCTCTAATGAGCTAAACCAACATACAAGAAGTATACTGGAGTGTCCTTCATTTCACTTCTGACTTGGTATTTGTCCTCCCCCAGCAGCTGCTGACACCAGAGATGGATGAATTTATCACCCCCAGGTACACAGTAGCTTCACATCCTGTCATCAGTGGTCCCGCTGTTTATTTGGTCTTGACGGGCAATATTTCACCGATAGGCATCCAATTAAAGCTGACATTTACCATGGCGCATCTGTCCACCCTGCTTCCACACGCAGCACCCGTCCTGTTGTCTGTCGATATTGCTCTGCTTCCATCTAGATAACATTGAATCTGACAGTTATGAGAGGAAGGAGCGACCACAGGCATTTGCAGAGTTTTGACAGGGTTTTGATAAAAAAAAAAACCTGTCAATTTAGACAGCCTAATAGATTATTCTGGGGACGAGGAGGAGATTATGGTAGAGATTATGTCTGTGAGATAAAAATAAAATTGGATCTAAGGGAAATATTAAATAAGAATGGATATGGACCAAGGAAAGCAGCCTACTTATCCTCACAGGATGATATGACCTGTGATCCGAGCTCAGAGACTGTGTTTTCAGTGTGACACACCGACTGCGACTGTTTTTATTAAAAAGAATCAGAGTAACAAGATCCTCTTTCTCTTCCCCTGTCCTGCTCAGATGTGCTGCATTTCTGACCAGGTCTCAGCTCCACCCATATAAAACAAAGGGAAAAGATAGGCCCCTGAGGCTGTCACCCCACCCTGAAAAAACTGACAATTACAAGTAGACTAGACTATGAGTAAATCTCTTCCAATTTCCACTGTCATCTTCCAGTAACCAGGATTTTTATCCAATACAAAGAGCCAAAGGTATTTGTGTAAGGCCTGGAAGTTCATTACCTCATCTCTCATTCCTCATATCTGTTGTTATTATTCCCAGCCTTCCTTTCATTGCTGATCGAGCGCTAATCCTCCCCACATTTCTATAGTTACAACCATATGAAAATGTTTCCGTACAAGATAAAGAGCTGCATTAAAAATCCTGTGCAAAAGTGCATAACTATTAAAGTATAATTGCTGGTTTATTTCCTCTGACTCATATATTATATATCATATATATTAAAATATAAGACAGCATCAGATAGTTCATTCTGAAGTGTGTGAGCAGC